CCCTACATGATAATTCATGGCATCACCCCTAGCACTAAGCCAGGAGAGTCCAAACAAAAAAACAAACTAATTGAATAAAACTGTACATAACAAAATAGAAAACAGACCAAAAGTTGGTGAATCCTTGCTTTAGAAAACAACCCATGGAAGATATTTTGTTTGGCCACTTTTTGGCTGACTTACAAACTATTTCAGAGGTGGAAAAGCAAACGCATGGGTGGAAATAACCTTCCTCTGGAGCAACTTTGCCATAGAGAAACTCTGTTTAATTGGCTATAACTCACAGAGGGGGGAAGAAAAGCTGTCAGAAAGTCAAATGACAATTACATCATGAAAAATAAAACAAAATACAACGTCCTGCAAGGTCATTAAGACAGAGTTGCCCAGGGCTAAATTATATAGCATAGATTCAATCAAACTGTAGGGCTTTGTTTATGTATTTGTTCCTGCAATAAACCAATGGCAAAGCTTGCTCTTGACCACTGATTTCTGAAGCTGCCACAGACCTTTTAGACAAGAGTTTTCCAGGGTGAAACCTCCCAGATTCACACTTTTGAGAACTTGTCTGGGTTCATCTTCACTTGGGTTCATCTTCACTTTCATAAGAACTGACAGTTCCCAATGAAATCTCAGTGCCTCTCCTCTGCACTCCTTTCTCTGGGCTAATTGACCACAAAGCACTTCTGCTGAGACATTTCCAATGTCATTTTTAGCTCCAGCATGATAAAATTTTGCTTTGCATATAGTTAGATCAAGGAAAAAACCTTTTATTTTTTACAAACATGTATTTCTATGGGTATTTGTACCAAATATTGGTCTGGTCAGGATCAAAACTACCATTTAGTACTATTTTTTCTCAAGTGCTTGCCATAATGAGATTTTTCTCAATTGTTGCTAATTTTGGAAGTTAGGACAAAGTTAAAACTTTATTAGGGCTGTTCCACATCAGACATATGCCCTGATCTGCATTTTATTTACTTATTTTACTATCAACCAAACTCGTTCCACTTTTTTGAACACTTCTGCTAAGGGAAAACACACCTGACCCTCTTGTCCTATTCTGGAGGTTCTTCTGAACCTGTCCTAAAGGCTGGACATTCTGGAATAAGGACTTCACATTCCACAGGGGATGGGGATCCGTAGTTTCTGAGCTCTCTTCTTATGAACATCTGCCCCACTTGGACAATTTAAAAGCCTGAGTGAGGAAAAAAATCACCTTTCATGTCACCCTATTTAGTGATGAAGAGGTAAAGGTGAGCATCCATGGATTTCTCCATGCTGTGGATAGATGCTGTCCCTGCCCTGCAGGTGACCATGGTCCTGCTCAGCATGGCAGAGAGGTGCCAGAAGCACCTCTGCCACCACTGATGTGCTGAGAGCCGCAGGGAAGTTGGGCTTTGGCCTTGAAGGCACAGAGCCTTTTTCTTTTGCACTCTCACATAGCCCAGGTGGAAACCAAGTCAGCATGGAGGAGGAAGCCAAACCAGAGAAGTGGAAAGGGAAGAAACAGATGAAGACAAGGTGCCTGCTGAGACTATGTACATCTGGCTAGGCCAAGCAGAGGAGCTGGATGGGGAGCTGGGACTTGGAACCTGAGGGAACGGCCAAGGGAAGGGGGGGTTGCTGAACCCAGAAGCCAGTGAAGGAAATGGGAGGGACTGAGAAGCAGTGGCTGGTTGGAGGTACTGGTGTGAAACAGAGGGGCTCATTGAGGAGGCTGTTGGCTGAACTGGGAGACAAGAATGAGGGATGAGAAGAGACAGACTTTGCACAGTGTTTTGGGGAAAGCAGGCAGGAGTGATGCTGGAGAGAGAAAGAGAAAGAGAGGGTGTCTTTGCAGAGCATGGGGAGGGAGGCTGGAGTGAGGACCAAAAGGGGCCAGGGGCTCAGGGCTGGCTGAACACCCTGCCCCAGGGCAGGCAGGGACAAGACTGAGGACAGAGGGGCAGAGGGAGACAGGACTGGTTCAGGCACAGGTTGTAAAGGACACTCTTGAAGGAAACACTCTCCTACCAAAGCCTGAAAAAGGATGAAGCAGAGATGTGAGGAGCCCCAGAGAGGGTCAGTGAAAGAAAAGCAGCTCATTGACATCCTTCAGTGACTGAAGGCTGCACAGAAGCCACCAGTCCTGGTGAGGAAGAGGAGATACATGGTCTCACCTCACTTAACAGGAGCCCTGTCTCTCTCAGTGCTTGGGGGACCCCTTGTTGGAGAAGAGTTTGCCCTGAATAAGAAGAGGGGCTGTCCTTTCTACCATGGAGGTTGGAAGACACTGGGCCAATGGTCCCAGGCTGGGCAGGGAGAGTCTAGGGGACTGAACAGAGGCACTCCATAGGATGCCAGCCAAGCCACCACACTGGTGGCCTCTGCTGAAATGATGGAGGTGGCTACCTGCAACCAAAGACAAGGAGAACTGAGCTTTCAGGAGAAAAAATCCCAAGCCCAAGGACCTGCCCACCTCCTGCAGCAACTACACCTACACAGCCCTGCAAGATTCCTTGACAGAGCAACAAAAAGGCCACTGGCATCTCTCCAGAATTCAGCACTATGGAGTTGACTCAACCAGCTTACCAGCATGATTTTAGCACAGGGTCTTTCTAGTGGGCAGGATGAACCTATGTATTCAGAAAACCCACCAGCATGTTTCTCTATGCCCACCACCTGTCTGGGAGTGCAACTGATTAGCCTTCAGTCATGCCCTTCCCTGGTCCTCTGCTTTGCTCTGATGCACATGTTTCTGGGTGTCTATAGCATCCGAGCTGGGGCCAACATTTCCTTAAAAGAATTTTGGCTACCAAGACTGTTAAATAACTTGGAGGAGGGGATCAGCATAAAACCGGATATCCCAAGGAGGGGGACCAATATAAAGCCCAAGTCCAGCTAAAGGGGGAAAGTAGGTTGTAAAAATTAATGAGAATAATTGTTGTGAATTCTTGCTTTTGAAAGAACCCTCGTGAGGGCAGAACCTTAATTATTTCTGTCTATTAGGGTTCATTTCCTGGTCCTGAGCAGAGAGCTAGTACCTAATAAATACAAGCTAGTAACAAAATGATTTAAGCTACAGCAAAATGGTACTTAACTGCAGGGGAAGTTAATATTTGGGAATCAACCTGATTGCAAGCACCCATTGTGTAAATGGCAAGGAAATGAAATGTGCATGTGACCTATTTTAACACCTCGATATTTCTGGGGCATTTTTCAGGGTTGAAGAGGGAGGAAGAGGTCAACTGAGCTGCTGACAACAGCATTGAAAACTTTACCAAAACCCTTTTCATAGCTTAAGCCTCTTTTTGGGGAGTAGGACTGAGATCCCAATGTGCTTAAATATCTTTTCAGGCTGTCTAAAATATCAGGGGAAATAAGCACAAGGCCTACATTGGGATTGCAGCTGTGCTATTGAAATAAATTGATGGATCTGGAATCAGGCAGGTATTTCTATAAGCTATGTAAGCACAGACTCAAATGCATTTGTGGGTGAGTCACACAATTAATACTGTAACATAACTTAATATAACATACATCTTGAAACCTAAACCACATGCATTTTATGTATATATGTGTGTAAAATACATGGGTGTATAGAAACTATATGTAAAATATGTTGGTGGCTACAAACTCTGTGTGATTAGGCAGATGGGAAAATTTGCATGAAGGATGTTCTTACAGGTGGTGGGTGGAAGTGAGAGAGAGATGGATGTGAATGAGGAAAAAATAGGCAGTGCACTGACAGGGAGACATGGGGATGGACAGCAGAGTTCCCTGGGGAGCTCAAAGCAGCAGCCACAGACTGGTGGGACTGGGATCATTTATGGCTCTGGGAAATGCAGTCTGCATTGCAACATGAAAACACAGTTTGCCAAGTGACATCTCAGCTGGGAAACCTGAACTTGGGTTTCTGCTAGTGAAGAAAAACCTCACTTACACCCAACTCAGCTGAAGGATGTTACTCCTTGAGCACAACCACCATCTGCAGCAACCTCAGTATCATTCTCCATCTGCACTGGGGCAAGCTACAAATTTTATTCCCATCCCTGGAGGGAGATGCCATTTAGGGTAGATCATTCCCTGCTTTATTTTTACAGCTCTATCTTTCTCATTTGGGTTGTATCTAGGGGCTGCAGCCACTCTTTCTTTGTTCCCCCAATGATTCAGTGCAGCAAGAGGAGGAATTCATGTGTTGGGGGGGGAAGAGGGATGTAAGAGTATGTAAAATGTGTAGGGGGTGTGTAAAATCTGTCGTGGTGTCTGTGTGCTGGTGTGTGTGTCTGCTGGGATGCAAGTGTGTGTCTGGGGGGATTCCTGCCTTTGTCAGTGCCTGTCAGACAGAAACAGATACACAGATGTCATTTCTTATCAAACAGATGTTGTTGATTTACAATCAAATATTCCTGCTCCTCCTAATATGGCACTTTTCCCAAACTACTGTACTTACATGTTTCTGCTTTGCTTTAGTTTTATTTGTATGATAATTTCTTTGCCTATAAACCAGTCCTATTTTTCTTCAAAGGAAAGCAGTTAAATTCAGATCTGTTTTCTCATCGGGAAATGGCTTTTAAGCAGGCAGTGTGTCCTGTTTTATTAACTCCCTGTTCTATTAATATTATATTTTTTCTCCGAATCCATCAAGCAGAAGTTAAACTTGATTTTATAGCATCCACAACGGAGTTATAATTTAAGGCATAATTTGGCAAGGACTCAATTTGGATTCAGTTTGCTTGTCCTGGCCGTGCCAACAGCTCCTATTTTAAAGGGCAGGGAAGTATTTTCTT